TATGTCAATGGTAATTGATGGCTATAGGTGTTGGAGTTTGAAGCAGTACTTCGGGACTGTGCTTTTGTGATTCGGTTCGGCGGTTGCCAGGTGAGTTCTCCTCACTATATCAACATGGTCTACGGCACCAAGGTCGACCTTTTATGATCTACATCCTGGTTTAGGATGATTGCTATGTTAGATTACATCCCAGTTTAGGATGGTTGCTATGTTGGATTACATCCTGGTTTAGGAAGGTTGCTATGTTAGATTACATCCTGGTTTAGGATGGTTGTTATGCTAGTAATTTGTTTGATTTATATCCTGGTGGTAGGATGATGTCTATGCTAGAGATCAGTTATATCTGTATGACTCTTTGCTATTGCATACTAGCATAGGATATTTATGTGCACATGTTTATTAGTTTGGGGAAGGGTTGAGGTAGGTCATGCTGTGTGTTGTAGTGCCAAGACACTCTGGGCGGACCGGGTAGACTGCAAGCCCGTGTCGAGCAAATCTAGTCAGACTAAAGGCTCAGCGAGCGGTTCGGATAGGCTGAAGGCCCCAAGGAGGGCGGTCCAGACGTGCCGAAGGCTCGGAGGGCAGTCCAGATAGACTGAAAGCCTGCGAGGCAGTCCAGTCAGGCTGAAGGCTCACTATGCATGTTGTTTTGTATTTGCTGATATGATATGAGGTTGGTATTTTGGGGGAACTCACTAAACCTTCGAGTTTACATTTATCGATTATTGTTTTAGGTTTTCTAATGATCGCGAGAAGGCGAAGGCGTGATCGTGCACCTCCTTACATTTTCATGATTGATTCTGGGAATACTATGATGTTTAAATTATTTTGAAAGTAAACTGTAATAATTTAATGCTTTTTTTAAATGTTTTAAAAAGTTTTAAATTGGATTGAATTATACGGGTGTTACACTAGACTAATCAAATCATGACATTAAATCCTTTAGATGATAATTTCCAATTTTATGATCAAAGAGATAGATGGTATTAGGATTTGGACAATGATGGTGATTTCAAGGTTTGTAGTAAATATAACTCCCGTTGATGACTTTTTACTTTTGGATAGTGATCTAGTTACTAAATAGAACAAATAAGTCCCAAAAAAAAGTTAATGTCTTTATGTGGTGAGTTCTTTGGAATAGACTTGTAACTAGACCTAATCCTAGCCTGAATGGGGTTGATGTTCTTCCATTATGTCTTTGGGTTGTTCTATTGGAGTTGAAGACTTAATTCATCTTTTTTGTGAAGTGTTAAGTTGGAGCTAGAACTTGGAATTTGATTTCTACATGGATGGACATGCAAATTCCAGATTGTGAAGAAATTTATGATGTTTCCATTGGTTTGAGTCAGGTATATACCTCTTCCTCAATACTATTCATGATTGAATCGATTGTATTTACTATGTGTTAGGATTTGTTACGGCTCAGAAATTCACAGGTGTTTGACATCAAACAAATAAAAGATAACACAACACTATTAAAGACTCTTTTTTGAAGTAGTGGCATGAAAACTTCAATTAGTTGGGTCTAGTGGTTAAAACACCTAATTATTGTTGTGTAATTGTTTGTTTTTCTAATTTCTTGCTAGTATAAGTATATGAATCATTAGCTATTAAAAAAATGATGCAATGATACGAAGATCAAATATACATTCATCTTGATGGAACATAAATAGACTAAAGGCCAAACTAAAATCACTAACAAATGAAACATCTCGATTCAATAACCCCCAAGTGTTCAATGGTTATACATGACCATCGTCTATGTGACAATAAATGAAACATAATTTTGACATATCTTATATCAAAAGTTGTCCTTACTATAGAAATAGGAATCCCAACAAATCAAGTCACTAACTTCAATATTGATGAAATAGATACATGCCTTAGGGTGAACTTAGACATGTTCGATAAGATAATGGATGTAACATCTATGAGGCGGTTTGTATGTAAGTCCCACACATGTAAATATTAAATAATTAGGTAAAAGGCATGCATTAAGGTAAAGGATAGTGTACTTTGGAGCCTTGTTTGCTAGGTTCACTGCATTATATCGATCATTCAAAACCTCTTCCACCGGACCACCGCCACTGTCTACCATATACACATATACAACAATTTAGACTTTTTTAATAACATTTTTCAAGTGTTTGATGTCACTTTCATCGATTATCTCTATAAGATACGTTAATGTAGAATGTTGTAAAGGTAAATTAATATTAACTATGTTTTGCAAACCTATCTTGTCTTCAAATAGAGCAAATTTAGTAATTCAAGAAAATTTAAATTGAATGTAAATTTTGCACCATAGTCCTTAACAAAAGGTCTAGCATATTTAGTTTTATCATTTAATCGTTGTCATGAATCATCGATACAAACAATTAAATACTTTGTTGGGTTTGAAGTCATGATTTTTTTTCTCAAAAAATGATATCAGATATTTTTCTCTTTGAAAATTTTAATGTTTTCAAAGTATAACTTATAAAATACCATGATTCTTTTTTTTTTTTTTTTTAAATCTATGTACTGATGTCAAATTTTAAACTAAATACAATGAGAACGTGAGGACATCATTTGCATGCTATTATTCTTTTTTGAATTTAATATGTATAGTATTGTAGTAATTACAATGTGAATATAGTCAATTTTATATTGCTAGTCTACTATAAAATTTATATATATGTAGTAATTTAGTAATTTTAATGTGAATGTTCATATATTTATTGATAAATAATATCATAAAGTTGTACATACAATATATATATATATATATATATATATATATATATATATATATATATATATATATATATATATATATAAAGACGAGGGTTCAATTAAGAAAAAAAAAAGTTGAGAATGGAGGAATCATTCTTAGCCACTCATTTATTTTTGCCGCAAAAGCCTCTGTCGTACCATCGGAAATGGAAAAGTAATAGACATGTGTTTTCCAGCAAAGCATATTTTCTTAAACTATGCTAACATTACCTTAATATATACAAAAACATAGTTTTTTCGTTTTTTTTTAAAAGCTAATTTTATTGAAAAATGATTTTAAATATACCAAAATTCATGATTTTTTATTCTCTACAAATAGACATCCATATTGATATAGTTTTAAGATAAAATAAAAAAAATATATTTTTTTTTATATTTTCAGTTTTCGTTATTCATAAATGAATAAAAATGAATCAGGTTTTTACTACAGTACATTCGTTATTTACTTATGAATAAAAACTATGATTAATTTTTTTTACAATTTAAGTATCATTCATATATGGATATAGCATATAACAAATATAGTATATTCATATTTAAATATTAGATGATACATTCACTTGTGAATATTAAATAGTTTATTCACTTGTGAATATTAGATGATATATATTTACTTATGAATATTAGATAATATTTTCATATCTGAATATTACGTAATGTTACATGGTATATCACATGTGAATATTACATAGTATATTCACTTGTGAATATTAGATGATATATTCACTTGTGAATATTAGATGATATATTCACTTGTGAATATTAGATTATATTCACTTATAAATATTACACAGTATATTCACATATGAATATTAAAATGTATTTTTATATTACATAGTTTATTCACTTGTGAATATTAGATCATATATTAACTAACTTATGAATATTAGATAATATTTCCATATCTGAATATTACGTAGTATTACATGGTATATCACATGTGAATATTACATAGTATATTCACTTGTGAATATTAGATGATATATTCACTTATGAATATTACACAGTATATTCACATATGAATATTACAAAGTATATTCATAAATATATATAATTTTTATATATCATTCACATATGAATAACATACACACTTGCATATTTGTTTTTTTGTTTTAATAATCATATACTAATTCAGGTGAGAAAACATATTCATATATGAATATAACGTGGTAATTTAGTTTATACATTTCATCAAACAGTTGGAGTGCATACAATTTAACTTTTTTAAAAACGTTAAAAACATGATCCTTTGACTATTTAAATCTTACAAAATAGTAGATTGATAGAGAATTATATGAAATTTTTCAAAAAAAAAAAAAAAAACGATTTGATCTTTTTCTAACCTCAATTTTGAAGTTTTATTTGATAATCAATGTTGAATGAATGATATGAAGTAGATTTTCTGTTGATTATCGATGATGTTGATCTAATGATGCTGGGAGTATAATTTATCTTAGATGTTGAAAATCTGATCGTATTCAAACAGAATTGAAGGTTGGATTAAAAAAAACAAAAATCATTTTTTGTTGTTAACTGCTGAATTGTGTTGATAAAAATGTTATTGATGAAGATCGATGATTGATTAGCACTGGATGATGTTGATGATGGTTTAACTGAAGATCTCTGAATGATTGTTGAAGGTTGGAGAAGAAAATTGGATAATGAACGATGAATGAGTTTGAACTGTAATCTAATTCTTTACAGATACGTATTTGAAATTGAAGGTTGTTATCACGTTTACAAGTTTGTCACCGTATATTTTTATGCTTAGATGAAATGAGTGGCTGAGAATGATTTCTTTATTTGTTAATCTTTTTTATTTTCTCAATTAAACCCACCTCTATATACACGCAAATGAAAACTATAAATCTGCAGGTAGGTGAAAATTCTCATTTTCTCATATGATATGAACGATCTTGTAGATGTCATATATGATTTCGGAGCATTTTAAGATGATTTCACAAATGAAATCTAAAAAATAATGGCTAATTTTGATAGAGTGTTTGATTTTTTATTTTTGTTTAGATCTTAAATAATTATAAATGGAATTAACCTATTTGTCTTTTTCTCTGATAAATAAGTTAGAATTAACAAATACAAACAAAACAACACATCCTTTTAAAGAGTGATTCAGACACTTAGTTTGGTCTCCCTGGTCCAACAACGAGTACTAATTATATTGCTATAAATAAGTAAACCACAAGAATCCATTAATTCCATTCATCCTCGTACCCAAAAAGACAGACACAAACACAAACACAAACTCCCTTTCTTTCTTTCTTTCTTTCTTTCTTTCTTTTCGCTTTCACCCATCGTATCAAAGCCATCCAAAACGGGTGTTCCTCTGTGGATGCTTGGATTCGGTGCAGTTCGTCTGCGAACCGACATGAATCGCTTGCTTTCAGTCCTCTTCCACCAAGGCGTTCTCGATGAACAGTTCTTGCAGCTCCAACACCTCCAAGATCAATCCTCCCCCAACTTCGTCTCCGACGTCGTCACCATCTACTTTCACGAATCCGAAAAGCAGCTTCGCAACCTCCGAAACCTACTGTACGTATTATATAATCCCTCCATTTCCTCTCATTCCTTCCGGTTTTCTGACATTATACATAACTCTTCATATTAATTGTTGGAAACCAATTAAAGGTTGGATAAGGAGACATGGGATCATGTTAAGCTCGGAATACATTTGAATCAGTTGATGGGAAGTAGTTCCAGCATTGGTGCTAAAAGAGTTCGGAACATTTGTGCTGTGTTTCGGGCTGCAGTTGAACAGAATAATCGTCCAGCGTACGTGACCGAGGATACGTTAATTTTAGATTAATCGGATTTCGTTTAAACTTTATTAGATAATTAATATGTTCTTTGGATTAATTTAATTGCAGATGCATGAGGGCATTAGAGGTGCTTGAACACGAATATTGTTATCTGAAGAACAAGTTGCATGAACTTTTTCAGGTAATTAATTATTATTCATTCATTTGGTTTTGTTAAAGCAGAATGAAGGTCTGACGAGTTTCAGTGGTTGTGTGCAGATGGAGCAACAAAGAGTGCTTGGAGATGCAGTGAGGTACGCAGGTGTAGTGCACCAGCAGTGAATCGAAGCGCATGTAGGTAGCATGGGGTGTGGCTTTTGGGTCTTATAGGTTGTTAACTTTTTTTTTTTTTTTTTTTTTTTTTTTTTTTTGTTAATTATTAGGGGGGAATGTAAAACGGGCTACTTTTTAGTGTTGTCTTTTTCTATGGCACTCTTTTGGGATAGTCGGCGCAAGATTCCTTTCTTCCTTTTTAAACGTTTTTGTCAAGAATTGGCAAGCAAGTACAGCGCACTAAACAGTAAACACTAGAATATGTTTTTCACTAATATATTTAAATTTCAATCAAAACTGTGTACATTATATCAGTAACTAAAATTAAAAAACTTGTGAAACTTAGTTGAGACCAAAAAAAATGGAATAAATGTCGTCCAATGTATTAAAATACTTTCAAATTCTTTTAGTGTATTACAAATCTGGTCAGTAAATTATATTATGCTTACAAATGAAGGACTAAATTGACCGATTATAGAAATTTTATAAGGCATTTATGTCATTTAGCCTACTTAAAATAATCACAACGTTTCTTCTTGTTATTAGGAAGCATTATTTTTCTTTGAAGGACCGACTTACATTAAAGAACAGGGCGCTACTAAACGATAACATTACAACGAAAAAAAAAACTGGATTCGGATTTTAGAACCAACGGATCCAACTAGGTTTAAGTTTGGACTTCTTATAAAAAATAACTATAAAATGCATCAAATATATATATTTTTTTTGCCAAAATACCATATTTCCACCGTTTTGTGTTCCAAAAGTTCCAAATCATTGTACAAGTCTCTGCCTCCAAACATTCTTGTTGTTTTTTTTGCTTAAAGTGGTATTTTTGTCGATGATAGCTGTAAACCCCAATTTTGATAATAATTCTAAACACGTTTCATTTCCAAATCTATGTTTTTAATGGAAGACTTGTCCCATTCATATTATTGTTATCAAAAGATAGTTATAAATTCTTGGGGTTTAAAACTAGCAATCACAACCATAGGAAACAATTCAAAATTAAATTATAGATACATACAATCAAAACATACTATTATGATGCATCTAAGTCTCGAAAATCCATCTTCTTGCATCTCAAAAATTCATACTAGTGACAACTTCTACTATTCTTCGGTGACGGGTACATTTCATGAAACAATACTAAATAAAACTTTTGTCTCGTGAGATATTAGGTTTTAGACACAAATGAGAGTTATAGTACCCATTGATAGTTACGTGTGGATATAAAGAACGTCGAAAACATGGTTCGTATGAGAAAGATACGATTTTAATACTAAGGTGTTAGGCAAAGCTCTACCTAAATCACCAGCCATCCTCCTAAGACAGGTGAGTGTATAGTTACTTTCATGAACATGATTTTAATACAAGTATTAATTAACATATTAAATATATATCGAAAATTTAAACTTTAATTATATGCATTTTGCCTAGAATATATGCTAGATGTATGTGATGTGGGAACCATATATAGTTTTATATGTGATAAAATGTGTATAATACTAAGAAGTATTATTGTTAAGACTATAAATGAAAGTTAATACATAATACTTTGTGTTAAATATATACACTAAGTTAGGATATTGTTGCCTAAAATAGAGTTGGTATTGGAAGTAGATTATAAGCAATATAGTCTTGTTTAATGATGAGATAAGACTTACAAAGGATGATTACTTCGAGTTATAAAAGAGATGTTAGATTTACCATGAACTATAAATAGATTACACATGCAGGAACTTTAGGATAATTATGGGTATTACAACCTTTTTTTAGTTATACCCTAAGGGATGATTAGTTCAATTAAGTTTGAATATTGGGTAGCATCTTATTAGGAGCTATGTGTGACGAGATTGATGATCGGTAGGGTACGTCCTACATACAGGAGTACTACATTTGTATTCTCCCCTCCTAAAATTCTAATCCGCTAACGATAATGATGATGATGATCGATGGGGACATGCCACATACATACATGCTATATTAGTATCCCCCTCCTCTTTGGATGAGCAGAAATGGTGGGTCCAGATTAGGCAACGGAAAGGTATGCATGGGCATCTGCCAGAGTGCGATGTCAACCACAGACACCTGTCTAGTGTAAGGCTACAGACTCATAGTCTGTAAGTATAAATGAATCATATGAGTCGCAGGAATAGAACTTTTTTTTCATTCAATATACTCCATTCCCACTTCAAAGTTGTCCTTTTATTGACGTTCAAATGCCAAGGATTCTCCGAAGCAGAATCTTTTGATGAGCATTGCGTGTCAGCGTTTTATTTCACAAAGTAGTTGAGGGAATTTCGTAGACTGCCAAATAGAGTGTGTTAGTAATAGACCATTACTAGGTATGTCTGATGTTATTTTGTCGGATAATATGAGTTTGGGGGTAAAATACCTCAGGGCCAGACCATTGTTAAGCATAGTTATCTAGATAACCACCCTTTACTTAATTGTCTTGTGGTATTGGTGATGAGATTTATTCCATTCCCCTCATTTGATGTCTTTATTGATTCTTGTTTGTTGTTAAGGAATCCCCCGAAGCAATACAGTCAACTTGTTGTTCACATTGATCCTTTAGGTTAGAAACTCATAAGTTCTTTGTATAGGATCGACGAGATGGGGTAGAATGGCATAGTGGCATGATATTACATGTATTGATGATAACAATTGGTGTTGCAAATTTTATATATATATATATATATATATATATATATATATATATATATATATATATATATATATATATATATCACATTTGAAAACTCTATAGATCACACCAGGTTTTCCAACCTGACTCACTCAGTTTATATGTATCACAGGTAGCGGTGATAAGAGTGTTGAAGACTTGAGTAGGATACTTAGTAATTAAATAGAAGACTTGCAATACAAGTCAAGGCCGTTAGGTCTTTACGTTGTAACATATGTTATTTATTGATTATGACATTCTTATAGTTTTATTATTTTGAGACAATTTTTTGAATTCAGATTTTTAATGTAATGGGAATTTCCATAACAAAAGATATTAGGATTTTCAAAGTGTAAAGAATATTTTTCTTTGGTTCAGAAATTTGGGGATGTCAGACAAAGTTCATAAATATCACTCATATCATAACAAAATAGGTTAGTATAATTAATATAACACTAATCATTTCTTAAATAGTTTCTATTGAGATATAAATTATTTAAAGTGTTAAAATTTTCGTTTGCTACTATTTCATTCATTGTATGGGCATTAATTAAATGTTAGGTGTCTTCCAGTCGTCGGGTAGCGCCTAAGGAGTATTCGGAGATTTGTTTTTTTTTTTTTCAATTATATTATTGGGTTAACCATTTCACATAAATTAGTTATCACAATACAATGAGTGAGAAGGAAAATGGACGACAAGTCGTGCCGTTAAACCCTATTGTATGATAAAACCAATTCTTTTGAAGACTACATCCATAGATCTAGGGGATATAACATTGTTTTGCATGATCCATTGTACTCTATCAATAAGCTCCACTGTGTTTGGTGCGAAAAAACCAAATGTATCAAATGTAAATGGTATGAAATGCATTGATTTTCCAAGCATGAGTTCTCATGTTTTGTGACTTTGCATGTAGCGGCTTTAAGTGGCATGTCTTGACTTGAAACCCTAGTCCTCAAGCCCACGAAAAGGGATACTCAAATAAGGTCCACACAAGCGTGTTTCCCTCCAATCCATCCAAAAACCAAAACATCATTCCATCTAAGGGTTACCCTTCCTTCTGTCGGGTCAGTCAAGAAATTCACAGGTGCCTCTTTCTTAGCAGAAATGACGACATGCTTAAATATGTCAAACAAAACATCCTGATTTACATGAGGACACCACCCCTTCCCTAAATCCCAACATACACTGGCGAGTGTCATTTTTAGTAAAATTATTGAAGATATGGAAGTGTATTTCAACATGATGGTTCAGCCAAAAGCAGTTTACGAGCACCACATGCCTTGCGACACACCGGACACATCTTGTCAGTTGGAAATATTGGAATCATGAGCCGATATTTAAAGATAGTGCGATACTCCACATGAGTCATATGTTTTCCAAGCCCCTTCTATATGTATAGCTAGAAGAAAATCTTGAACATGTGGTGCTCGTAAACTGCTTTCTGTCGAACTATCATGTCAAAATACACTTTCATATCTTCAATAATTTTACTAAAAATAGCACCCACCAATGTATGTTGGGATTAATCGGGACCTAATAGGAATTTTTACAACAATGATTTATACAAAAAAAACTTTGTCTGGATTAATCAGGACCTAATAGGGATTTTTACAATAATGATTTATACAAACAAACTTTACGCAACTATACTTTATACATAAATACTTTCATGTAATATGCAAATCCAATGCAATGCATGTACTCATATACTTATATACTTGACACTAGGTAATTTTGTTCCAAATCAAAGGAACATTATCGTGTCCGAATTCGGAAGGATCTTTGTTTATCCTAAATCAGATCGATCTTTATCTCATCTCTAATTAAAGAGATGGTATGGTATGGACCCTTTATGTAAGTCTTCGCAACAACATCCAATATATGTACAAATGCATCACAATCACTATTTCCAAATGCAATCATACTACACTTTCACAATGATATGTTATGCATCTGGCAAACTTTATCATGTAAAATCACTTGTAAAAAATATCATTTCATGAAGATATATGTCATATAGACAACATTTCATATTAAAATCTTTAATCTAAAAATAAAGCATTTATCACATGTATCCAATTTAAAAGCTACACATTATAAGATCACCAAAATGGATCGATAGACCTTTAAGGACTTTATGAGCCTTTATTCTAGAAGATCATCAAAAAAGATCAAGATAGGCAAAGGATGTGGGGCTGAGATTTTTATATTGGGAGTCTAAAAATTGAGAAGTGAAATTAAACACATGTGGTTTAGGGTTCAAATATTGCACATTCAAAATAGGGATAATGAAAATAGGGTTCAAATATATATATATATATATATATTATATATATATATATATATATATATATATATATATATATATATATATATATATATATATATTGATTTGTATGCATTTGGTCACTGAGTTTTTTTTTTCATATTTAGCATTTAACTTGTTTTTTTTTTTTTCTGTTCACGTTCAGTCCTTATAACCAGCTACTTTAGATTAAGCTAGAATAATGACTTAATAGGGTCATATATGTTTCAGTTTGTACATATTTAGTCATTATGACCTGTTTCTTCATATTTTGCTCACGACATCATATGTGAGATAATCATTAATGATGTGTTCTCATACATGGCTTGTAACTCAATTCACAAATCAGTCAAATAATGTTAGTGCTCTAGTTTTCTCCAACTATTGATGTCTTCATCTTCGGTTTCATCTATCTTCATTGCAGATAACGAAATTCTTTATCTTGGAAGTGCAAATTCAAGTTGGGAGGAAGCAATCACAAAGAATCTAGTTGTTTGTTATGGAGATCGATGAAACTTTTTGCCAAGGTGTTCATTCTTCTTGGAAGTGCAAATTCTTTTAGCGTCTTCCTTAATTCTTTTATCGTGGAAATGCAAATTCGAGTTGGGAGGAAACAATCATAAAAAATCTCGTTGTCTGCTATGGAGATAGATGAAACCAAAGTCAAATACATTTTCTTCTTGGAGAAAACTAGGACACCATCATTATTTGACTGATTCATAAATTTGGTTACTCATATAAGTGAAGGACAAACCACATATGAGAACACATCATTAATGATTGTCCAACGTTGGATACTGAAAGCAAAATCTTAACAAATCGATCATAAGAACTAAATATGTACAAAAACATTAAAGACTAAATGTGTACAAACTGAAAAAATATATTACCCTATTAAGTTATTTTTCCAACTTAACCTAAAATAACCACTTATAAGGACTGAATGTGGAAAAAAAATAAGTTAAATAGTCAAATGTTGACAAAAAGAAACTCAACGGCAAAATATGTACAAATTAAAAAAATATATTACCCTTTTAAGTTATTATCCCTTCAAAAATATCACTAGAGTTCGATAATCGACCTCTCATTTGGGTCTTAAGACAAATTTACGTGGACTTCTCAAATGATATGGTTTTATTTTCTTTATTTTTCTCAAATGATATGGTTTATCATTTTCTTTATTTTTTTAGTTTGTCTGCTTATGGTGTTTGTACTTTGTTTGTTTATTTATTTATTTATTTATCTTTGAAAGACATGAAGGAAATTATATAAAAACAAGCAGGATGGAAGAATAAGACAATGTTAAAGTTGTGTTCTCAAGTCAGTCAAACCCAATTACTTTTTAGTTTTTTTTGTCTTGTTGTAAAACTTAGGGATGAACGTGGGACAGAACTGATATTGGGGTACCGTTTCCGATTTTTCAAAAACCGAATTTGAATGAAAGTCAATCCTAAGTACCGAACTAAATTAATATTACTGGTACCGGTACCAGGAATGGTACTAGTTTTTGGTACTAACACCGGTACTGATGGTACTGAATCTCAAATTTTATGATTTTAGAGTACCAAATACTGTCTCATCTATTTAAATTTGGTACCGGTTTCGGTACGGAATCGGGATTTGATACTAACTCTTCATCCATAGTAAAGCCAAAAATACAATTTTGTTAAAATTCACCAATAAAACATTCTTCAGAAGTCGCTTCAAAAATAAGCATTCTGAATTCTCCCTTTAGGCAATCTTAAACCTCCCAAGAAACCAAATTGTCGTGAGAATAACCACCTCTAAACCTTTTTAGCGATAGTGACAAAGCGTGAATCTCCGACTAAGCCATCATATCGGAAAACACATTAAAAATTGGAGTGCTCAATCCCCACCATAACACTATTTCCTTTCAAACCTTGTTTTCTAAATGAAGTGCACATCTACCTTACACACTAGGCACAATAGAGTGAAATTCCGGTCATTGTCTTTGAATCCACTTCAATATTTTGGTTTATAGTCCAAAAGTATCAGGTTATGTTGTGGAAAGATATCTTTTTCCAAGTGGTTTAAAGTTTAAATCTCGTGGACAAAAGAATAGATTTAGTGGGTGGTGTGTTTTACTCGTTCAAAAAAGAATTAATACTAAGATAATGTTTAGAAATATCTCAATATTTTGACCAAAATAATAGAAGTGATAGGATACCGGATTAATCTGCAAAAATAAAAAACAGCCAAAAAACTTTTTCAAAAGTTTTAGTGTATCCTATCATTTTCTAAACATTTTTTTTTTAGAATTTTCTGTTAATTAGAAAAAATATTAGGTTTTTCGAACAGTAATCCTTACTTTTCTGCTTTTATTCTTTTACCACCGTCAATAAAATTAAAACCTCTCATGGAAGAATATCAAAGCCGTATTTCGCCTTTTTTTTTATCCACTATTTATTAAAATTTCCATTACATATATATAACGTACTTATACATCAAAATCACAATTCACACATCTATACTCACATATAACATATAGATACTATTTAATTCCTAGCCAACTTTAACCTCCTTCACATTCTTCTTCTTGGTGTCATCTTTTGGTATGATCACATGAAGCACCTCATCTTTCATCTCCGCCTTGATCTCCTCCACTTTAGCATCCTCCGGCAGCATCAGGCTAGTGTTATAGTACCCGTATCTGGCTGCCGTCCAATACTCCTCCTCGTCTCCTTCCTCCTCCTCCTCCTTATGCTCTCCTCGGATGAACAACATCCCATCTTCAACTGTAATCTTCACATCATCTTTCGAGAGCCCAGGCATCTGATACTTGATGCTGTAACTCTCATCTTTCTCTTTGAATCTCCTTATCAGATGGGACGGAGACAAGTTTTCCAGTAGTCTGTTCATGTTCGCCGCCGCTTCCACGATGGCATGCCCAACACCTGGTGAATTTCAAGAAATCTTGAAATTAGAAATATTTAAGAAAGAAAATTTTCGGTGGTGAATAATAGTTTAAAAGAGTGAAGGTACCGGAGAGAGAAGGAAGGAAGTTCCGATCATTGTTTCTCGACCAAGGTGATCTCCGGCTACGTCTCTTTGGTGAAAAGAGTTTGGGTTTTCTGGTAGAATCGGAGATGGAAATCTCTTTTGTGTCTGGTTTTTCAGGGTGGTCGGTGGTGGTTGTGATGGTGAAATGCTGGAAGAATTGAGAGGTCCATTGGTGGGTTTTGAGAGATGATCGGTGACTGTGAGTGATAAAACGGGACATGGCCATTGTTATGCTTGTTTGTGGTGATGGTGTAAATTAAAAACTTGAAATTGAGGGGGTAAATAAGAGAAAGGAAGAAGAAATGAGAAGTTTCTTGTTTCTTGTTCGCTTTTTAGGAAAAGAAAATTCTACTACCTTCTATTAGAACTCCATATATTCTTGTCTTAATAACATTTTCATCATTTGATTTTTGAGGTATTTCTTTATTAGTCAAAAAGACAATTTTTAAATTATATGTTCAACAAATAATATTGCAAGGAATTTATAATTTTGAGAAGTATGTGTTTTTATTTATATAAATACTAGCTAATAATAAACTTGTGTATTATATGAATAAAATATAAAAAAATGTTAAATAATAAGAAAAATTATTATCTATAATTATAAATATAAAATAATTTTTTATATACCTATGAATGTATATTGTTTATGTTACGTTCATTTTATATATATATATATATATATATATATATATATATATATATATATATATATATATATATATATATATATATATATATATATATATATATATATATATATCAGTTTGAAACTGTAACAAATCTTGTTTAATTGATTACTAATAGTATATATATTGAGTTTAGAATGAGAGAAAATTTTGTTTTAAAAATACGAATTTGGAAAATTCCAAAGAAATTTTAATATTTCATTCTAAATTATTATTTTTTTATAAAAAAAAATCAGAAAAATGCAAAAGGTTACATTCTAACCCTTTTTTCTCGATTCAATCGGTAAAAAATAAAAAAATTATTAACTTGTGAATATTTCATAAATTAATTCAAAATATTGAAATTTTTCTGTAATATTTTTTGAAAACTCAAACAAATATATTATTTTTTAATTTATTATTACTAATATTATTAATAAATGCATATATAAACATAATTTAAATACATATTAATACATATAAAAACGTATTTATATGTAAAAAGTAGGTATAAATATAATAAATACATATGAAAAACATATTTATATATTTTTATACCTTAAAAACGTTTTTAAAGTTCCTTTTTATATTAAACGTAATTATATATTTTTGAGAAAAAAAAACGGATGATGATAAAGCATACCAATACAAAGAATTAGAAGATGATAGAACATGTCGGTAAAAAATACGTATAAATATAATAAATATTATTTGATCTTTTTCAGACTATCATACTCAGAATGCCTAATTATAGTGGAAAAACGACCATATTAAGACAATGTATTTATATATGTATTTATAAATAACATTTTTAAAGTTTTTTTGTATTTAAAAGTTTTTATACATGTAAAGATAAGTTTTTGATGATACGAAGATTGTGTGAGCTTATGTGAAGATGATGATGAAAATTGATGTAAAGACACTTCTGACCTTAAGTGTTTTGAAGATTGATCTTCGATAATTTCTTTATCTGAGAGACGAACTTTTGGTTACTTTATATGATCAAATATTTTGTATAGATTATGTTAGTCAAACATGTTGAGTATAATCATCTGTCCAACATACTTAAGTATGGTCCGGTCTAAATATGGACGTCTGTCTACCATACTTAGGCATGCTGAGTATGGTTGTTTGTTCACCATAAATTTCTAGTTAGCCATACTTAAGCATGCCCTCGTCCATCATACTTAAGCATGACCTGATCTGTTTGTTGTACCGATATGTTCTGTCATCATCCAGTTCTTTTTTAACAGCGTATAAATACGTTTAAAAAACACTTTTAAGGTATAAAAATATATAAATATTTTTTTTCATATGTATTTATTAATTTATACGTATTTTTTACACATATATATATATATATATATATATATATGTATATATATATATATATAGCGTATAATGTGGATGGACAACTATTGTACGAACGTGTTGACAGTGTTATTCTATGAGAATTAGTAAGAGAATAAATTGTTTAGTAATGTAAATACGTTCAACCTTACACAACTATCGTGATTTTCATGCATTCTCACTAATATTCTTATTCATTTTTGTTCTCACACATTCTTTTTTCACCCAGTTTTATTCTTACAGAATACGATTCAATAAACGTTCTCACAACATTCTGACATATTGAGAATAATAATAATAACTCTATAATAACCTTATAGACTATTTAATTAGTAAGAATGTATAATAATGACAATAATTATGTAAGATTGAACGTATTCATATTATCAAACAACATATTTTCTTTGTCATTCTTATAGAATAGCATTGTCCACACGTCCGCACAATAGATGTCAATCCACATTTGAACCTAGCTATATATATATATATATATATATATATATATATATATATATATATATATATATATATATTCTCTATCAATGGTTGGTTGCAAGGAAGATTATCTTCCCCATCATGTTTATTGTGAAACTTTTATTTACAATTTGTTTTAGCATTGGCAGCTTATTACTTAATAGAGTTGCACGATCGGGTTGGAGCAGAAACAACAAAATTTTTAGCTCAACAAAATCAACATCGAAGAACGCAATGTTAGTGTGTGTTTGATGCTATATTCGACCAAAAAATCAATCATATGTGTTTGATCATTGATTCTATAGTTGACACAAAAAATCAATCATGTATGTTTGATGCTATATTAGACCCAAATACGTTTTTTATATTGCATTGTAAGTGTTTGATAAAATAACCATGACAACTTTAGTGTGTGTCATTGTGCATGCTATAGCTTACTCCAAAAAATCAATTGTGTATGTTTGATGCTATATTAGACCCAATATATGCTTTTTATTTTCTCCATACATACTGCATCGTAGCTGTTTGATAAAATGCCCCTGAGTAGGGGTGTTCGTTTGGATGGATCGGTTCGATCCGATCCAATTAAGTAAATCCAAATTGATTTCAGTTTTCAAAATATGGATCCAATTTGTCCAAATTAAATTCAAATCCAATCCAATTACAATTCGGTTGAATCGATTTTTATAATATGGGTTTCAAAAGGCATAACATTTTAAAATGACATATAAATCTAATATTATCCAATTTTTACAAAAGAAGCAAAAACAAATTATTTAGTTGTAATTTAAAATTTATAAACAACTACTAAGAAGGTATATTATAATTTAATATTTAATATATAAAATACTTTTAAGAGAAAATAAACTTTTTTGAAAAAAATAAATTATAAAATTAATAAATAATTATAGATATATTAAAAATAAATAAATAATAAATTATTATTCGGTTTTTTTTACTATTCGATTCTTATTTTATAAAATAAAATCAATCCAAAATCGATAATAGTAATTCGGTTTTTGGTAAAATCCAATCCAAAAATCTGAATAGCTGAACCAAATAGTCCAATCTAAATTGTCGAATTGGACAATTCGATTTATCCAAATAGTGAACAGTCCTACTCATGAGAACTTTTGTGTGTGTCATTGTGCAGACTATGTTATTGGAATTTGTGTTTATTAGGCAATTGGTTAGTATTTAGATATTGTATAAGTGAGTTTTCATTCAGATGATTTGACTACAAAACACATCAAAGTAGAAACGGGTTGTCTTTTCTTTTTAAATTAAAGGGAAAAATATTTGGTTGTTTTTTCTTTTCTTCTTCCCTTCGACAAAGCACCTTCTTTGTTATGTCTAGAGTAAGAGATTTTGAAAGAAAAGAGAGGAGTATTTTAAATATTTGAAGGCTGATGTAACCATTGGTTGAGCTTATTCATGTTTACCTACTATTTATACCTCTTTACATATCATAACAACAAGCTTACATTTTGAAATTATATTGTTGTAATGAGAGAGAATCAAATCTCATTGCAAAAAAAAAATCTCATTGAAATCTCATTTAGTATGCTTCTTTTATGTGGGTTTATACCCAAAACAAACAAACAAACAAACTCCAACTATAGCGGATGAGAAAACATTGTTTAAATTTGATGATGGGTGGTTGAATGTGATGTGAATATGATGTCCGAACTCCTCCATATACACTAATAACAATGTACTTTCATATGATTTTTTTAATTATTCTGGTAATAAAGGTATTGATCATTGAATACCTTTTTTTTTAAACTTAGGCGTTGTAATTGTGACATGGCCCTGATATCATAAGTCTAATATATGTAACAGATGATTATTGCAGATTTTCTTTAAAAGCAAGAATTATTATCAAATGTTATTAAGAATTCAATTTTAGTATTAAATATTAAGGATACAACTTATAACACAGTTTTGTGTTAATTTTTGTCGTTTCTGAAGGTGTCAGATTATATTGATAAGCTTACTCTATTAGGAATCAAGAGTTGGGTTCTTATCGGTGACACGGTGGAAACAACAATCGACATTAAGTAAGTTTGTATTTTTTGAAGAGCTAATGCAATAAATAGCAATGTACTTCCATTGATTTGTTTTAGACATTCGTTTTTAGCAATGTATTTTCATTTTCATCGTATCCCAACCATCTAGCAATGTACTTTCATATGATTTTTTGTTTTATGCTTCTAACAGGAAGAAGTTGTTTTTCTAATGAAAGTTTGTTGTTGTTTCTTGCATATACAAGAAAGGAAAACTGCAATAAAGTCCCTACATATTGGTCTCATAATCGATTTAGTAATTATAATTTTTTTTTATTCAACTAAGTCCTAAAACTGATAATCATATTCAATTTAACCCCTTGACCTGGTCAACAGGTCATCCAACTTTTGAAACTTACATTTTTGGCCTAGTTTTCAAAATTTATTACAAATTTGGTCCATAATTTATAGTTTTGGCTTAGATTTTAATTTTTTTTACAAATTTGATCCAAAATATACCCTTTTGGCCCAAATTTTAGAATTTTGTTATGAATTCATCATAATTTAGTTATTTTTACAACTTTTTTTCTTCAAAAAAATGTACTCGTCTTTATCTTATATTATTTTTGAAGTGTACTATGAATTTAGGTAGAAAATATAATAATTTACATTAAAACGACAGTTACATAGTGTTAATAATAGGTCATTCATGTTGTGACATTGTTATCACACAAATAAACATTGTTTTCATACAATAAAGAGACTTAAAGTAGTGAAAAACAACTTTTAGTATCATTAAAATTTTGTTTTTCAAGTATACTATTAAGTTTAAGAGCCAAAAAGGACTAATTAATAAGCACATTGTTGTTGACAATAAGCCATTTATGTCAATGTAGAAGTATAACAATGTCATCGTAGCACTATAACACACAAAAAACATTGTTTTTACAGACAAAAAGAAACATACTTAATATCTTATGTTATTGGAAATACTCTAGCAACCGTCAAAATGTACCATGTCAACAAGACATAAAACTCTATCATTTGTAAACCTAGCGATACTATTAATAAACTTTGAAACGTTTATAAATATGACCTACTTTTATTTATTGAGCTATTAACTAAGCCAACATACTTTAAAAAGTCTACCTAATGATGTTGTGCTTTGATATCTTCGTTGTACTTAAAAAAAATCTTTGTATTTGGTTTATGGTTAGGTAGGTTGTTCAAAATACAATGCTATAATAAAAATCAATGAAATTAAGCACACTATTATTTCTTGCATTAACTCTTTCTTTATTTGTCATATGTTTTTATGCTGAACATAGAACAAAAAATATATATTGTTTAACATCTTGAACAAGTTTAAAAAAAATATTAATAAAACTCATTAGTATAAGTTTGAAAGAACTGAACATCTATTTAATGTTAAATATAACTAAAAATATTATATTTTTTGTTATTTTTATTAATTACTATGCTTCTAAACCCAAAACATTCGAATTCATAAAGAAAAAACATTCGAATTTTTTTTGAAGAAAAAAAGTTGTAAAAATAGCTAAAATTAGCATGAATTAATAACAAAATTCTAAAATTTGGGCCAAAAGGGTATATTTTGGATCAAATTTGTAAAAAAAAAACTAAAATTTGAGCCAAAAATGTAAATTTTGGACCAAATTTGTAATAAATTTTAAAATCTGAGTCAAAAATGTAATTTTCAAAAGTTGGATGACCTGTTGACCAGGTCAAGGGTTAAGTTGAATACGATTACCGGTTTTTGGGACTTAATTGAATAAAAAATATATATAGGGACTAAATCGATTATAAGACTAATATGTAGGAACTTTATTGTAATTTTTCCTATAAGTCAATTATTTTTTTCTTACATATAAATGAAAATTCGTACATGTTTCTTCCATCTATATTTAGGTGGATTTCAAAGTGAAAATACTACCTTGGTTATTACTTATTTCATGTATTATAATTTGAATAAAACTGCTAAAATACAATTTTACTAACGAGGGGTGTGTGTGTTTATTGTTTAGGGTTCAGTTAGAATTTGAGGTGGAGTTAAAATGGGAAAGGGGTTAAATGGTGATTGCTTTTTGTCGCTTTGACTTACACGTAAGTATCTTTGACCAACTAATAGTTTTTTGAACTTTATGGTCATTTTGACTGGAATCAAACAATCTTTGAATTAACGCATTATTGTTTTTCTTACTATCTTGCCTCTTTTAAGCTCGAGATTGCAAAAGAGTCCTTACTTATAGTCTTATAGTTCAATGCCAAATTAACAATTTGATAATTGAGAGTGAAAAGATGAATAACAATATTTGTTACCCTCTTAGAGAATATTAAACTTTTTATTTTTAATCAATATCAATGTTTGTAGCAATGTTTATTTTATTTTTTGGAATGGAAACGGAAACCCCTTCGTATTATTTCAATGAAGACCCCAAGAGTGAATCATCCAATAGGGTGTAGACAATCCCATTGAGATTCCAGATAGAAATTTCCCACATATGGAGATAAAACATTTTGTCAACTTTACATTTGAAGTAATTTTCGTTTTTTATTTGTTATTATTTTTTTTTTGGATAATACTATATACTTTTTCTTTTCTAATTAGTATTCTATATTAAATTAAATTTAGCTATACTTTTTGTTACTGACCGTCCATATAATATCATGTACTTTAACCGAAAAGCTAATATTTTTTAGACAAAATTTCATAATTGCATCATTCTCTTGGTTCAAGAGTCTTTCTCTCCTTATCCCTCGAGCATTTCGGTCCCTCGTGATTCGACTTCTCTTTCTGTAGTTTTAGTATAGTAAGGTGAGCACTAAAGCGCTGCACGAATCTTTCTTAGAAAGATTCAGCAACGAAGTTTTGTTCCTGCAGAGCCCGACTCCTAACTAAAATCCTCTTGTAAGTAAGTTATGCTTACCCTATTTTAAATATAGTTTATATTTAAAATTAGTATTGTTATTATAAATTTATAATAAATATTTGAGCTATTATTATGATTTATATAAGTGTCGTTATAATATCTTTTTAACTACTCGCAGTACGGGGAATCTAGTTTAAAGGGCCGCATAGGGTTGTTGGATTTCAGAAGTGCTATACGCAAAAATGATCCTGCCCTCCAGTGTTTTATGTCTGTCCCTGTTTGTATATAGTGGTTGGAAAGTATTATTTAAACGCTTATATAATAATAATAATAAGACTAATAGTTAGTCACGGTAAATATTAGACTAAAATCTAGTTGTAATAATACTAGGTTTCGTCGAAGGAAATTATTTTAAAGTAAACGAAGCGCTGTCCAAGTACCGAGTCACCGCCTTCTCAGGTGAGTGCATAGTTATTTTCATCTTACACATAGATGTGAAGTATTTTATATAAACTACGTGCTATGTGTGCATATTATCTGAATACTTGTTATCTATGCTGGATGAATTTTTTTTTTTTTATACATGATTTAAATGATTTGAACTGTATACGTATTTTAAATATACAAGTATGTTGGGTATGAGATGGGTAGATGAATGATGAGAGATAAAAGATGATGTGAGTAAACATTGGCAGCTATAGACTTAGTGCCTAACAAATAACATCGGCAACTATGGACTTAGTGCCTATTGGACAAACACTGGTAGCTATGGACTTAGTACCCGTAAGGAATTGGTAGCTATGGACTTAGTACATATTAGATAAACACTGATAGCTATGGATTTAGTACCCAGTAGCTATGGAATTAGTGTTTTACGAACGAGCATTGGCAGCTATGGATTTAGTGCCAGTCATATAACTCTGGAAGCAAAGGACTTCAGAATGAACGAATGCGAGATAGATGACTCTTAGGATAGATCCTTAAGAGTAAAGAAGATAATGGGGATGAGTAATTGGGTCGATTGTTTGATTGTTTAAACATAATAATTATGTTATTGTGGGCTGAAAACCCTATGTACTTACCAGGTTTCCCAACCTGACCCACTCAGTTTATTTATATTATAGATGTTGAGATGAAGTCACATTACACTGAGAGATTAAAAAAGATGTAGATCACTAGTGTAAATAAATGTAAGTTTTGTTTATGCTTATGTTTCTGTATTGATGATGACATCCCAAATGTTTTAAAACGAATTAAAAATACTTTTCTTCGGAAATGCTTTGATAACGTATTTATCATGTTTTACTGGGAACAAATTTCATAACATTTTTATTAAAAGAGGTACTCTGATTTTTATAAAGCATAAACAAAATCGATCTTTTCTGGCCGTGAAAATGGAGATGTTACACCCCCGCATACTACAACTACTTAAACGGGCCAGCATTGTGGCCTTAGACCCGCTCCCACTGGAAGAGGACTCACCCTACATTGTTGAAGTCCCGCTGACAAAACCATAGCTACTGGATGACAGATTCCCAGTATATCAATATCAAAATAACATCCAATTAATAATTGGGTTCCAACTCATAACCATAAGTCCATACTTAGGGTAAAAGACTACTTTACCCCTATCTTAGCTTAGCTCAACCCCAAGGCCCAATCCAAAGGCCCAAAAGTCTAATAATGGACCAAGGTCCAACTATGGCTCATCTATGGCCCAATTTTCCCAATTGGGCCCAAGTCTCTACATGGTCTTGATCAAAGGCCCAACCATTTAGTCCAGTCCAACATTTGGCATTCTAATGGCCCAATATCATATAACCATCAAGGCCCAAACAATGGCCCAATTTTCCGAATTGGGCCTAACCCTCATATGGGCCTTACCCTAAGTCCATTAAATTATTCTAATATGTTTGCTTGCTCTTGTATGGTCCATTATTATCCCAATCACCAAGGCCCAACTCAAGTCCAAGTGAAATTAGGGTTTCACATAAAATGACAATTAAGGTGCGTGACGATGACAGCGGCAGCCCTCATAGCCACAACAGTGGCTAAATGCGGCGTTGCAACAACGAACTAGAGAGAAGAAGGGATGAGGAGGATGAGCGGAGACCACCTTGGAACGAAACAATGCCCACAACAAGAAGTGGAGGACAGAAATGGATATCCAATAACGGCAACGACCCAAACGGAGACCATAGGGTTGTTGGCGGCAACACCTGACGTACACAACACCAAATCACAGAAAGAACGAAGAAGAAAGGATAGATGGGTGGTTTTGCGGTGGACTAAGCGAGAGTTTCAGGTCGTTCTTACTCAACAGCGGCGTTCACTGTCTCCATCGTGGGTCTCGGTGGCTCCCCTGAATTCCTTACGTCTCCGGTGGTAGCGATGTGGTGGTACTCGTCGGTGAAGCAGCGGGCGACGCTCTTGACTGGTCGGAAGAACAAGAAGAAGGTGGAGGATGAAAGTGTAACACATGGTGGTGGCGGTTGGAACCTTTAGGTTTAGGGTTTGGGAGTAATATGGTAACGGGAAGGAAAGGTCACCGGGTATATCCGCTCCTATACAAACTTCCTTTCACTTTTGTCACATACAGCCCCTCCTTATCAGTTCTTCTTCACATAAGCCCCAAAATTTACCTTTTATACCCTGCCTTGTGAATTCCATTTCATAAGAAGTCCTAATAATTACCAAACATACCCCCACTTCTAAAATCCTTCTCAAATTAAATCTGGGAATTTACTAAACAGCCCTCAACTATCAAAATTCTTCACAATTTAGTCTAGGAGCCACATATTTATTTATCTGTTTATTTATTAATTAAATGGGGTGTTACATCTAAATTGCTTACATGCTTACCTGCATCTTTGATTTATGATACAGGTTAGCACAAGTAAATATGCAGATGGTGGATTAAGGTCATCTCCAACCTACCTCCAAATTCCATGGAAATATGTTTTTTTTTATGTAAAGCCCAATCAAAGCTCATGAGCTCGCCCTGAATCTGCAGATGATGATAATCATGTTGCTTAATGTCTAGAGGCTAATATCAAAGCTTCTGAACAAAAATGGTATTTTTCTTTGATAAATGTTACACAACTCTATACATCTTTGTTATTTTGATTTTAAGGTTGCAACCCTATTTTATATATATATATATATATATATATATATATATATATATATATATATATATATATATATATATATATATATATATATATATATATATATATATATATATATATATATATATATATGGCTCATTCAGTGAAACCCCACAAAAAGACCATATGGACAAAATTTATGGTGAGTTAAGTTGGGAGGCTTGTGACTTTCTACTGCCCTAGGAATTCAATCAGGTATGTTTACATTTTATTCCTAGATATTTTTTGTTGGTTTTCATTTTGTAATATCTTTGGGTATTTTGTTTAGGAAAAAAAAAAGTGGGTTAGAAATAAAGGGCATTGTGGTCTTTTTCTGGTTAATGTCATATGTGATGGTTTTTGGCTGGCCTATATAAGTTATCCTCATTTTAGGCATGGGAAATTTGGTGTGGTGCTCTGAATATGGTGCAAAAATAAGCACAAAGGGCGGTATTATCTTTTTTTGGCTTTTGTCAAGCGAGGAACCTCTCGGAGAAAACTTACCGAAGACCTGACAATATGTATAATTTTGGTTAATTATCTTATAATTCCATTCATAGTTTTAACATCTTAACTGATTGGTTACAAACATTAATGTGTAACCTATGAAATTTATAATATTCAGATTTTTATATTCCATTTCTCAAATATGGATTCCAAATTTGTTAACTTGTTCTTCGGTAGTTTCTAAAGGGTATATTTGTTATTTATATACTTCTATTAAACTATAAAGTTATTTCCATTGATAATCAAGTTGGTGTTTGTATGTAGATAGATGAATGGAACGAGGAAAGGGAGAATGTCACATTCATGTTGTTTTTAATGTTGCCACACCAAATTATTGTACCATTTGCATGTGATGCGATAGTTATTCATTTATGTCTACTAGATGGTCCTTTCAGTTGTAATAAGGCTGCAATTTTTAATTGTATAGTAGAGAAAAGTTGTTTTCAAGTCAAACTCTTGGTTTTTTGTATACAAAATTTATTCATTTTTATTTTGTTATTAACTAATTACCGACAGTTTCGATGTATTACTAGATAATTCGACATTAGATTGGTATCAATTTAATAAAAAAACCGAAGAACTTATATAAATTATGAAGCTAAAAGTTATTTTTTACCTAATAGTCAATCAAATGGTAATGAAAAGATTGTGGAATGGGATACAAAATTCAATTAAATATGAAGATCATAGTTGTTGAATCCAAATCATGTAATGGTATTCTAAATACTTAAGTTGTCATCTTAAAGAAAAGGCAAATTACATGGTTTTTTTTTTTTTTTTTTTTTTTTAATTTCTATAGGAAAGGTGCCTTAGATTGCAACTCAAAAAGGTAAAAAATAATAATAAAGAAAGTTTGTTATTACTAAAAAAGTGGGGAAATTGAATAAATAAATAATTTTTTTTCTACATGTTATTCTCTTATTCAACTAGCGTGGCATCCATTTTAAGTCTCCATTTATTTTAAATCCGTATAGTTAAGACCCTTTTATCTGAAAATATTGGTTATGCCAATTTTTTCTAACCTTCACTCTCATCTCAAACAGTAATAGAATTGTTGAAAGGCATCTTGCCAAGAAAAACGCTTGATAACTCCAAGTTGTAGACCCTTTAATAGAAATCAGTCCTTCACGTTCACAAAAAGTATTGGGGTGTTGTGAAATCAATAGTTTTAATTACAATTACTTTGATCATATTAGAGATCGAGCAAATGACTAAGGATGTAAATGAGCTCAAGCTCGACTCATTAAATTCATAGTGCGCTAGCTCAAACCAACTCATTTCAATCCTTCTATATGAAACTCAAAGCTTGCGTTGTGAATAACCTCATATGCTTAGGTATGACTCCATTGTTAGGTACGTGTAAACAAATATGTAGTTTGCCACCTTGAAACATTAAAAACGCTAAAACCACCTTCATTTTCTTGAAAACTACATCATAGAAAAAACTAGGAAAAAAATTACAACGGAAATATCTTGTAGACACTTTCTTTGAATAAACGGCGAATAAAGCAATAAAAGCAAAGTAACAATTTTTACCTTTTCTTGTATTGAAGTTTAAGCAACATCTTACATCCCTAGGTGACAAATAAAGTTACAAGTTTCAAGTTTTTCACCAAGGAGTTTTACAAGTTCTGTCTATGGATCTACTCAGTTAAATAGTCCAATACAAGAAAAATAAATAAAGGTTACATTAAGCACAATCAAAAATAAGAACTCAACATAATAACCTAAGGTGTTATTTTAAAACACAATTCAAGATTAAGTTTCACTTTCACCTATTATCAATCATACAACCCTTCCTGCTCCCATACATCCCCCAAAAAATCTACCATTTCCTGCAAGTTTTAAGTTTTAACCAATATTGTGAGTCTTCTTCAATCTTCATCAACAAAAAAAATAAAAATAATTAAAAAATAATAATAATAACAGCTTACAGAAAGAGGAACGGGCTTTGCAAAGGGCTTGTTGCTACCTAGCAAACTATCATAGGTAACATTCTTACTGCAAAAAACGTTTAAAAAAAATGGTTCTTTAAACTTTTACACAAAATTAATCAAATTTTAATCGAATAATTTGAAGTAAAAAAATAAAAATAAAAAATGTTACCTCAATCTTGGTTCGCGAGGCTTGTTTCTTTGTCTATTTCTTTTATTTCCTATCCAATGTTGTCTACTTTGGTTCCACAGAAGAAAACCTACACCAAATTTTATTATTTGAAATAAGAATAAGAATAAAAGAATACATGTGGAAATTAATAGAAGGGTAAAATATATATATATATAATGCTCTTGCCATGATTTATGAAGTCGTGAGAATCAAGAGATGGATTGAGTGTGTTGTCCATGTCAAATCTACTACTTGTCCAGGTGTCATCTGCCATACAAGGTTTTGACATTGGGCGAGTTTGACTTTGACTTTGACTTTTGATCAGTTTGTGCTTCGCATCACATCCAAGACAGCAACTGCTCTGTTACAAATGATGTCATTGAATAAACTTACAAGTTAAAAGATTAGGATTTTCTTTACCTCTTTTAATCATCTTATTAACATTTTAATTGTAAATTTATAATGTATGTTTATTATAGATGCAACACTTACACTTGCAATTACACAACAAAGTTAGAATCTTTATTTGAATTTAGACCTTAGCTTTTTACCTATAAAGCTACTGTTACACCATATAAGTTCATACATTGGTGCTAGAGAGTATGATAAAAAGTTGAAAACTTTCTTTTAGGAACAAGGAAATATCATGATTTATTGTGTTTAAGGTATGAAAATATCATGATTTATTGTGTCACAAATGGAACCACTTAGTGTCAATTGCATATAGGATTAGAAAGTCACAATTCATCATTATGCACCTTTTTTTCTAGGTCTTGAATCTAGGGCTTTCTAACAAGAAATCGTTTTTGTATTCATGAATTTCCCCTACCAATCGTAAACATAACAAGAACATAATGAAAGGATGGTATACAATATCGTGTTCAGCAAAAACCTAATTAGTAAATTTGCAAAAGAATTACAAACAATCGGCAGAAAGATGAATGAGAAGAAAACTCCAGAAATTGATGGAATGAAACAACGTACCCCATACAGGCAACAAGGTGAAAGAGCCAAGCTGTTACAAATCCAAAACGTAGCAGTGCTCCAACAAGAAACATCGATTTAATTTCACCAAAGGAGGAAAGATCAATAGGCCCTGATTCAATAGACGTGTTGAATTAATCATATACAGCTGAAACATTACGGCGATTGCAAAATAAATTAGCGTTGACGTAAAGAGACGCACCTGAAAGGGGCATACATTTGGTCTCTTTCCTTCCTTTTGGGTGGTAATCTTTGAATGATCCCCTTCTGAAACGGAAAGGATTGGAAGCCCTAGGTCGAGAGGATAGCGGCGAACTTAGATACTTGGAAATGATTCTTCTTGGGCTGATGAATTTTTGGCGAAAGATTGCAGACCCAAGATTATTGAAACGCGAAAAAAGTTGTTAATTTATGTTTAGATAGATACTCCACAGATCTTGCTGGATGCTACAGAAAGTCGACCATATCCAAAAGTCCAATCTACGCCTAATATCATTTTGGTTAAACTCCATATATGACGAATTTTATTGTTTTTGTTGACCATCATAGCCCTACAATATCTTATTTTTGTTTTGTTTAAAGGTTTCCTAAATGTTATTTTTCGGTAATCTAAGGTCATAAAGGGTTTAATACATCATTTTGTGGAAATTGGAAGGGTTTATAGGTTGTTTTTGTCATGTTATATTTGTTTAAAAAATTAAATATTATTTTATTTTCTTTTTATTTATCCTTCGATAATTGACATTTGGATGCTATTAATCATCTCTCTTACTTTACTTTGACACTTGTCTTGATCTTGAGGATAAACATGAAGAAGTTGAAAAAAGATATTTGATTTCTCTTAAAAGAAATTGTTATGTCATTGTTTATATTTTATTTTTTTAATTAGACGGTATGGGAGGAACTCTTTCCTTACTTTTGGTGGGTCATACCCCTCTTTACCTTACTTTTCTCTCCCTCAACTAAAAGCCAAGGAATAGGTGGAAAGCCCTTTCCTCATTTTTTTTAGTATATTTCATACATATATTATACTCATTTTGTAGGGAATTAAAAACCATGAATTTTGATATATTTTTTATATTTTTATAGTAGGTATATAATTTTATAAATATTAAAAAAAGATAAATAAAAAAAAATTGGCGAATAGCGTGATGAGAGAGAGTGCGGCACCCCCTCACCCCAACCTCTTTTCTCGCGGTTCTTTCCCTCACCCACGGAGTGGTGTGCAAGAGTGAGGGAAGCTTCCCTCACCCATTTCCCGCACCCACTTCGTCTAGCCTTAGTGTAACCAGTGACGCCTCAAATGATCGATAGGCTCATTAATCTTTCATCTTGCTTCAACAAAAACTATTTCCATCTACAACCGTTTGAAAAGGAAAAATTATGGAATAAGATAATCAGAATCAAGTGTAATGTCGAAGGCAGAGTTGTGTGTTCATCGTTGAGCTTCTGTTTTCTCTATGATCTCTTTCATGAACAAAGCTCAGTGTCCGCCGCCCAAACCGATGTCAAAACGTGCACAATCGCACCACCCTCCGATTTGCGGTGAAGTTAGAGAACATCGAAATCGGCAAGACGTTAGACAACATCTTGTACACTTCAATAATTGCACAAACTCTGGAAAAGAAGAAGATTGAGTGATCCGAGTTTCGAATCAATTGTACAATCTCCTACAAATCGATTGTACGCTTCAATCAATTCAGATTCATGTTTGGCACCTTGTGGAGAAATATAGAGAAAGAATTAAGGATTTGCCGATGGTATTCATTGGTTTAGTGACAGGGCCGATTTTACCCTTTGAAAAACTAAGCAAGGGTTTAGGGCCCCCAATTCTAAAGGGCCCCAAAATTTAAAGCTTATTGTGTTTTATATATATATATATATATATATATATATATATATATATATATATATATATATATATATATATATATATATATATATATATATAATATATATTTCTTGGGATTTAAAGACAAGTTGAAGCTTAGCTTTGTGATAAAAGAACTAGTTTTAGAACCTCTAAATTCTTTGAGCCATCCCCGCTTAGTGAAAGACATATGATAGCATTCCTCAAGAGACTATACGGAGGACTCAAGAAGCTAGACATGTTTTAGGGTAATATGAGGGCTATTGTAGGTCTACGCTCGGACTCCAGTTGGCCAACACATAGTCATTCTATATGGAAATTGTGTTACGTCATGGATAAAATCGTTGCCTATATATTTTCTCTTTGATTTTGAAGAGACATTTCTCATGAGATTCAATAAAAGGTGCATTGGCATATACCTTTTTGTTGATGACATTATGTCGGTGGCAATGCAACATCTTACTTATGGTTAATTTAAAATATCGGTTAAATTATAGATAAAATATTAAGCAGAGGTCCCATAACCTTTTCAAAATTTCAAAACAAAACCCTTTTGTTTAAAATTAAGTACGAGGGATGTTCCAATTAAATATCATCTTGCTAATCTTACACCAAGCATGATATTCCAATTAAATATCACCTTCCAAATCTTACACTAACCATCAACTCCTCATGTTCGTAAACATTCTTATCACTCGTGTCCCGTGTCATAATAGTACATTAATCTATGAAGTTTGATAAGTTACACAGGATTAGACATAATATAATCATCACAATCCATAAACATAACATGATGATTTAGTCATACTCACTTGATCAATCCACATACCCATCAGTCCATCACATGAGTGTTTGCAAGGTTCAACCGATAGTTTGGGGCCCTATTGGGATTTATGTTATAATATGTACGTATGAAAAACATATAAGTTATGAGATTCCTTTTATAGATACAAGCATACATATCTCACTTAACATACATTATACATATATAACAGGAATCACAAAATTATTAGAAGTTGCATCAACTAAAAGTCATAGTTAGGGAAAACAAGTAAAAGACAATACAAACCACTAGAAAACCCAAGTCTTCCCTCATTTAACCACATCCAAAGCAAACATACCTTATTATATTATTATTATTATTATATACCAACCATAAAATTCTCAGGCTGTAAGAATTGGAGGAAGGTAATCAGATTTGGCACCAAGAACACGAGCCTTAGTATCAGGAAAAAACTCCGTCCCTGGCAATTCCGTAACATTACCTTTACTATCAACCCCAATCGGGTATCGCAACAAATGACCTGGCAAATCCTGTTCAAGATTCTCACTTGCAAACAAATCCCAATATTTCTCAGCAATCTGATTAACCTTTTTCACACAGTTTATGCTTTCTGGGTTCTGGAAGCTTTCATCAAGCATCCCCATGTGTTCGTACCATAAAGCCATACGGAACCCATAAATCTGACCCCTTGCGGGTTCGCGGGTCGATAAATGGAAAGGCTGGTAGGCCCCCATTGCTATCTCAGTATCCCGAGCACCATCCATGGATCGCTGGTTTATGTTTGCTGATCCAATGATAATGTATTCGTCATCCACTGCAACACACAAGTGAAGATTCAAGAAGAAAGTTATTACACTGGATCTTACATTTTTGGTCCCTCAGTTTACATGATTGTTTTGGCTTTGCTTATTCAACTGTTAACTTTTCTAAATGACCATTGAAGAAAAAAAAATATATTATAATAGTATTATCACATTTTTGGTAGAGGTCAAATTATTTTTTGGGTTTTGGTTTGCAATTTTGGTCCTTTAATGATTTTGGTCCCTGAATCATAATATCTAACTACTCGTTTGTTAATTAATTTAAAATGGTCAGGTGGTCCAAGGCCATTTTGATGTTTCATGACTTTGGTCCGTGGTCCAAGGGAAAGATGGTCATTTTTAATTGGTAAACAACTAAGAAGTTAGAATTAATGATTTAGTTATTATGATATTATACCGATCATCATTTTGGCATGAACATAGATCATGAACCTCCGAGCCTCCTGAGCTTTCAAGTAATCCGTATCCGGGTCTGGCGATTCCGAGGGTATATATTCACCCTCCTGTTTCATCTCACGGTTCCCAAGGCAAAAAAACGTAAGATAATCTCTCGGGTCTTCTTCACGCCCCTGAGCTTGAAGAGTCTGAATAATATCTTTATACATCATATCCATAGTCCTCCTTTGCCAATCCAATATAGCTTGAACCGAAGCACTTTCCGGAATCCCTTCCGGCCACATCGGGACCACAACATAAACCGTAAACTTTTCACCTGCCTCAATTTTAGTCGTTATTTTCAACGAAAGTTCTTTCGGGATTAAATGTAAAGCCCCAACATCTTCTCCTTTAATGCCATCGGGTTCCCACCCGTATGAGCTTCCTAGGAAATACTGGTTTTCTATATAGATGAAACGTTTGGCTCTTCGGATAGCGTGAATATACGCGTCTTGTATACTTCGGTCAATTATGTTGTCCTTTCCACTGACTAGACCGGCTTTCGCCGCCTCTTCCGGTGTGTCTGGGAACCCGAAGGCGGCTCCACCGTCGATTGACCGGAAAACCTGAACGTTCCACGTCTCTTGGTCATCCGGGAACATGATCGGTGACGGAGGGGTAATCTCGTCCAATTCTCGTAAATTTACCAAAATGTCCTTCCCGCCTTGTTTTTTCCACCTTTGTTCGAAGTTAAATAACACGTCCCACGCAACCGGTCCTTCGAGTCGCGAATGTATGTCGTGCCACGGCTCGCGGGGTCCACCTTTTGTTATCGAAGCACCGGGGTAGTTAGGTTGGTGGAAATCGTCATGGTGGGCGGTGTCTAAAGTTCGGAAAAGGGAATGGAACGGGGAATCGTATCGCCCGTCGCAAAGATCGATTCCGCCAACAAAGCTCACGACTCTCCGGCTTTGTGATTCCGGAGTCGGCATTGCGGAATCCACCACGAGAATTTTCTGGTGGTGAGTGAACATGGTGGAGATTTGGAGGTCTTGAATGAAGCTTCCACCATCATCGGGATTCCGAGGGCATAAAACACAATGGACATCAGAACCCCGGAAGTAGTTTTCGGTGTCCTCATCGTGGGTCGCCATTAATCCGTCTTTTTTGAAAACATCTACAGAAGTTCTATCGTCCCAAACAAGCATAAGAACACGAACACCTTCACTTGCTTTGGTTTTTAGAAGCTCACCAAGTGTGACATCACCTCCTGCTTTTTGCCTTCTTGTATCTCTTATCAAAGTAATCCCGGTGTAAACAGACCATCCGGTGATGTAAATGAAGTGTTTTGCATTTGTGATGGCATCAAACACATCTTCCCAACATCTGTGTGGTTCGTAATTTTTTCCGCCAGCGAGGGGTATTTCGGGGATGAAATTGTCGGGGACATGGGCGTCTTGGTATAAAGAAACACGGCATCCTTGTCTTTGAGTGAAGAATGTGTAAGGGACTCCGGGGTATTTTCCGCTTTTGACCCCGACATTCCAATTTCGGTCCTGAGTGACTTCGAAATACTGTAGTTTCACATGGATTTTGGAACCCGCACTTATGGGATTTTTGTCAGTATCCAGGATTTCAACCCATCTGTCTAGTTCTTCCCCACCTAAGAGATCTCGAACAGGGACATAAGCTCTTCCGATTAATGTTGCACCAATGGGATTATCATCTTTCACAGTGAATATAACATCAGAAGCAAGATGAGCACAGTAAATGTGGAAGGACTCATACCACCTTGGGTTCTCGACCTCATTTTCAATCTTCCTAGTCCTTCCAACTCTTGCTTTTTCTAGATCGATTGTTGCATAAATTTTGGCAGTTCCTTTCCCAAATCCAACAGTCTCCTCAATGTTAGCCACCAACTGCCATAAGAATCATCTCCAATGAGATCAAAAAGTCAATTGCTAAACTTTTTGCCTTTTTGAAAAAAGGAACAAATGTTTAATCGATAAAATGGAATTGGAAGTTGGATCTTCTCAATGAAAAGACATGGGGTATAGGTATAGGCATACCTTTCTGAATATATTTCCGCCACCACTTGAATTAAGCTTATCAACTTCGTAGATTGTCACATGAAGAGTGCCATGGAGCAGTATCTGAGCCATTATGTATCCTGCAGCATCCGTTACAAAACGATTAAGTAACTTTTTTACACAAATAAAAAAAAGCTCAGAATCAACGAGATTGACAGTAAGTTGGATATATTTTAATCGAATCAAAAATTTCTTATCCACAAAACTGACTGTAACTTGAAAATAACTTGTTTACACAAATATGAACCGACGTAACTTAAAAGTAGTCGAATCGAATCAAAAACCCTCGTATCAACGAAATTCACCGTAGTTTGTAAAGATCGAGTGATACGGTGTTGCAAATCGGATTATATTTACATCAATGTAATTTTCAAAAGGCAAGTGATACAGTGTTTCAGATCTGAACATATATCGCATCAACAAAATTCACCGTAATTTGTAATGGTAAAGAGATACAATTTTGCAAATCGGAATATATATAATTAGTACGTGCGATTCAAACCTGCTTATCTGCGAAACGAAGAACCTGAACTGAAATAACTTGGGTACAGTTGAATGCCGTCAAAAAGCCTCTGCATCAACAGAGATTCAAAGCAAAATTAGCATATAACAAGTGATACATTAGCTCAAATATGAAAATCAAAATTCTTATCATCTACATGAAAATTTATATTACAGAAAATTGCGGAAATCAGGTAAGATAATTGAGAGGATATGGTCCGAAACATACTGAAGAAATGTAATGAGAGAATGGAGACGGCAATCAGTGAAAGATTGTGACCGGGCAATCGATTAATTAGAGGCCCCCCAAGTCCAACATGAGTCATGATACCCACCCTGCAATCTAATCTGCTTTATAAATTAGACTTCAATTATTTTATGGTGACGCGGCATATGTGACAAACTGACAATTATCCGTCCTACACATTGTGACTCTCGTGTACAAAGGATAATTTAAACGATTGTTTATTTGATAACAATATGATTAGTTTATGATAACTATATATGACTTGCCTATTTAATATAAAAATCAATTTTTGATAATTAAATCAATGTTTAAAGTTTATTTTGATAGGATGTTTCTCAGAATAAAGATTAAATAGAAACGGATATTTTTAAAAACAATGGTATTATATATAGATTAATTTAGAAGTTTCTTACTTTGGTTGGTTGTTTGATTTTTTTTTCTTTTGTACTTTATTTTTTAGTTGTGTATCCATTTTTATATTGTTGGTGGATAATCAATAGGGAATATGACTTATCAAGGTAATTAACTTTTCGGTATGTTCACATCTAGGTAACTATCTTTTTTTTGTACATATGTAGGTAACAAACTTTTTGGGAGTGTTCACATATGACCATTATGACCTGCTATAGCAGGTTAAATCCTAAATGTGAACGTTTTCAACAAGTTTGTTACCTAGATGTGTACAAAAAAAATAGTTACCCAAATATGAACAAAAGGAAAAGTAAAAATTACATTACATGAATGGTCCTTATAGTTTGGGGGAATTTGTGGTTTTGGTCTCTAAGTTACCTTTTTAAACTTAAATGGTTCCTATTGTTTATTTTTGTTGCGCGTTTGGTCCCCATCTTACCTAAAAATACTATTGTGCCCTTATTAATTTATTTTTTTTTAATTAATTTTCTTATCTATATTTATTTTTTACATATTTATAAAAATTAATATACCACACATATTTGTATCTCCTCGGATGATCCCTACTATTTATTTTTTAATTAATTTAATTTTTTAACTCGGATGGTCCATACTATTTAATTTTGTTACGAACTTGGTCTCTGTCTTACCTAAAAAGACTATTGTGCCCTTATTAATTTTTTTAATTAATTTTCTTGTTTATGTACTTATGCTTTATATGTTTAAGAAAAATTAGTAGACCTCACATATCTGTATCTCCTCACCATCCCATCTTTCATCATTCTCAACTTCTATTTATTTTTCATCTTTAGTGATATCGACGTCTTCATCATACTTCTTTTTTCGGTCCTTCAACTCCGTCGAAACAACACCACAACCCACTAAATATGAAGAGACAGTAGGTTATGGTGTTGGTTCTCCAGAGTTGAAGTACCAAAAAAAGAAGGACGGTGAAGACATTGATGTTACTAAAGATGGAAAAGAAATAGAAGATGGGGAGGATCAGAGATGAGATGGTTAATGGTAAGACTCAAATTAAATTTCTCAAATGTGATTTCAGGTTTTATAAAAAATAAATACATAAATAAGAAAATTAATTTAAAAAATTAATAAGGGAAAAATAGTATTTTTAGATAAGACAGAGACCAAACGCGTAACAAAAATAAACAGTAAGAATCAGCCAAGTTAAAAAAAAATTAATTAAAAATAAACAGTAGAGATCATCCGAGGAGATAAAAATATGTGTGGTCTATTAATTTTTTTAAATATGTATAAAATAAATACATAGATAAGAAAATTAATTAATAAGGGCACAATAGTATTTTTAGGTAAGACGGGGACCAAACGCGCAACAAAAATAAATAGTAAGGACCATTTAAGTTAAAAAAATAAATTAGGGACCAAAACCACAAATTCCCCCAAACCACAGGGACCATTCATGTAATTTAATTTTTAATTTTCATTTTGTTCATATTTGGGTAACTATTTTTTTTTTGTACACATCAAGGTAACAAACTTGTTGAAAGAGTTCACATCTAGGATTTAACCTGCTATAGCAGGTCATAATGGTCATATGTGAACACTTCCAAAAAGTTTGTTACCTACATATGTACAAAAAAAAGATAGTTACCCAGATGTGAACATACCGAAAAGTTAATTACCTTGATAAGTCATATTCCCTAATCAATACTACTGTTTATTTGGCAAACGTGTTATCTCCTTATTATTCCAATTCACAGTTCCACTCACACTCTCTCTTCCACCGCCTCCCTCGCCCAGTCACATACGGTTGCTTCCGCCGACTTATATTTCTTTCATCTACCTCCATTTTTTTAGATGATCACAAAAGTATTAGGCTCAAAGTATCAGGCTCCTGCCCTCTCTCTCTCAACAAATGTTCGTCTTCCTCAATTGTTCTCTTCCTGCTTTACTTCTCACCCATTCTATTATCTCTCTCCACTGTTTATGTTGTACATGTGTTTACAGTTTAGCTTTTGTGACTGGTGAGTTGTCGCTGATGCACCTTCCTTCCCATCGCATTCCTTTTATTCTTATCGATCTTCCCAGTTTTCTTTTTTGTGTCACCGTCGATTACAAGAAACTAGCTTCATCAGTTTTCCTCTGCCTATTCCATCTCCCGCCAAACCCTACCTTTTCCGACGCTCATACATGCACTCTAACTAGACCAACCTCTTACCTCTATCTGGTGATCGGGTGTTGAACCAACAACTCTCACCCGCACTTCCAATATGAGATGAAGGCTTTAGAACAAACCCACAAACAAAGTCGCCAATACTATTGTTGGAATCATCGGCTCTCGAGTGAAAACAAATCGCCGCAGTTGTGTTCATCGGTGTTGACTCGACTTAACGTTTGTCTATGTATGTCTTTAACTTGATTATTATTCTATTTGATTTTTTTTCGTTGTAGCTCCTTTGCCCTGTTCATGTTTCCAAAGTTCCATTCATTTGATTTTGTCTGTCACCCTATAAGAAAAACCCTAACTTTATTTGATGGTTGGTTTATAGTAGAGATGAGGAGTATTTGGAAGGAAGGAGGCGATTCCAGACAGACAAATATAGAAGATATATCTTATTTCTATCTCAATATCAAAACTCATTTGATTTTCATTGATACTATTTTGTGATTTTGCATCTTTATTATTGTTCTTAAGCAAGTTGTATTTCTCCTACTCATTTGTGATATGAGATTTTATAGATTTCTTTATTCTTCTGAAAATTTGTTTATATTTCTAACGCAGTTTCATGACTTTTTGAAAAAAGTCCATTTCCAAACTTACGGAGAGGTTCTAGGTGCCGGATGAAAAGTTGTTGAAAGAGGTAGCAAGAAGAGTTGGAATTCAAACTCTTGGTACCACAAAAGAATTAATTGTCTCTAGGCGGAAAATCACACATCGCTGGAAAACCCTAAATAGTACCAGCTGATTGATTGTTTGCAATGCAAATGTGTTAGATTCAATAAAAATAATCAAAAATCAAGATGAATTTAAAGAGGTTTGATGAGTTTTGTATGAGAATAACATAATAAAGTCCATTGTGTGTCGGTAGTGCCTTTGCAAAATGGATGTTGCAGCTCAAGGATTTATTTTTATCTTTATTTAAAATTGTTTATTTGTTCTTGATTTGGGGATTATTTATAGATATTTGGGGATCAATTTGTAGTTTGATTTTGCATACACATGGATTAGTTATTAGGTTTTATTTCTACAATTTTCTCATCTGTTAACATTGGTCTGAGCAATATTGTGGCAACCCGAACATTTTTCCGTTAACGTTAGCCCGATTACGCTAAATAAAATTTGAATTTTTATTTAGTTCCGTCAAATTCTTTTAAGTTATATAATTAAATTTTATATAAGAATCGGAACCAAAATCACGCGAAAACCCGAGTTTCTTCGAAAATCAGTGAAATCTGGTCTGATTGGTGTGTATGGTCGTGAACCCGATCACAATCGTAAACCATTCACGACTGGGTGGACCCCACCACCAACCATGAACCTAACCTCTCTCTCTCTCTCTCTCTCTATATATATATATATATATATATATATATATATATATGTGTGTGTGTGTGTGTGTGTGTGTGTGTGTTCTTACCCCTCATTTACACTTTTTTGGCTGAAAACTCATCTATCTTCTCTCGTTACTTCCAACTGCAAACTCAAGATTTCCTCATTTTCTTTCGAAAATTATCAAAAATCAACTTTGGGTGTTGTTGTGCAGCCTCTAAAACGCATTTTTCACCGAATAAGCAAACCTCTATTGAAGGGTGTACGACCGTGAACCCTTAAAATCTTCAAATCTTCAAGGGTCGAAATCTGTTCACGGGCGCAAACCATTCGAGGACCGTGAACCCTTCAAATCCTCACCAAGAACCATTCACGGTCGTGAACACTTTATAGCAGTGAACACTTTGGAAACCAAAAACCCTCCATTCATTTCATCAGTCTCGGTAACATTCCTTAACCAAAAGCAAGTGTTTTCCAACACTATAACTAATGGTTTCACTAATAAAATGCATATATGTGTTTAATTATTATTAGAATTCTGTTAAATCCGCGTTCAACAACTCGAGGGTTCTCATTCCAGTTTCACGGTCCGACACTTTCATGCAACCATCAGTGAGTTCATACTCCTATGCTTTTACTATTTTTAACGTTTTCAAGGGGTGGGGGGAATACAAGCCAAACACAAATGATTTTGTGAATTTATACAAAAGAATTTCAATAGGTTTAAAACTTATACAATTTATACAACCAAAAGATTTCCATATTTTATAAAATATTTAGACACTTTATCCCTTTTGTAGCATAATGAGCATAACGGACGTTTTTAACTTACAGCCAAAATTGCATAGTTTTCAGATCAATACATGAATCAAGTACATAACATGCATGCGAACTATAATAGGTATAGTTTGGGATGTCAGTATACGGTTTTACAAATTCAAGAGCTTATATAATACTACTTTCGGATTTCGAGAGTACAATACTAAATAATTATTTAAGTATAATTATTATTACTCTACAAGGTATACAAAAGGATTCAAATACAAGAGAACAGTACAAACTACACGTAAACTAGTTAATACAGGATTGTGAGACATCTCTTCAATTGTATCCTCCGGGTACGGAATAAATCTTATCATTTAGTGTAACCAGAGTCTCCTGGAGGGAGAGCTTAAGATTTGTGAATAGATCTACTCAGAACTGACAATCTTACACCTAAACTGCTAGCTACAGTTAGGCAGGCATGTCTAGGGTGACAAATATCATACCGTCTGACGCCTGAAGAACGTCGCAGATGTCATCATTCATATCAAGCATGGTTATATGACTCCCAATAGTATAAACTAACATTTGTTTACGAGATTTTATTCTTTATTAGTTTTATTTTAATTAATAAAGCTACTATACATTACACTGGAGGATTCAAGGGGATACAATACGTGGTTTTATTTTAAGTAATGAAACTACTATACATACTTGTAGTAAACAGGGTTTTCAAACAGAACAATCTATACATTAATGGTGATAACCAGAGTTTTCATACAAAGGGTTTTCATTCAAAACAACGACATACAATACAGCTCGTGGTAACCACAATACACACTACTACAGAACATAGTATCAAACATATATGTTAGAAAATATTGGATTTTCTTGGGAAGTATACAAACATTTTTTACAGATTTAATGACAGGTTTTCATTAAAAAAGCATTTTTATGAACTCACCAGCTTAATGTTGATACTCTTTCAAAATCGCTTGTATTCTTAGGAAATCAGTAGACAAGTACTCCCGCAAGCCTTTGAGAAGACGGAGCGTATAGAATCATGTTTTTATATTTTGTTATACTTTTGATGTATACAAACTATGTATCAAACATATGTAAATATCTTTATTTCAATGTAATGGTTGTGTTTACTTTGATTACTATGATACAATTGTTGTGATATTGTACATGACATCCTCCACCACCGAACGTTTCCGCCGTTTCGGTTTGGGGTTGTGATAAATATACCGCATCCAAATCCTTCTATATAGCTTTTTGTATGATGTATTGGAGAATTTATGTTAATTTTGACTATTACCATTGGATCTTAAACTTTTCCAGTTTGAGACAGAGGCTCTTTATTCAAAAGTATATGAAAATATATACATTTTACAACATTACTATATATATGTAACACTTCAATATTAAATGTTTTTGTTAGAATACTATGAAACCAATTTGTTTCACATTTTAACATATCAAGGTTTCAAATTCAGTCCTTATGAGCGCATTCACCCAGGCATTTCATAATCTATTCTTTTAAATAAGTTTGAGCATATTAAATAAGGAAGACTAATTGTGATATTTTATATGGTAGTCTTATTATGATACACTACAACTGTCAAACACTTGGTTGTTGGACCAATAGTCTTGAAGGGTATTGGAAGCCCGCTTTTCATCTTTAGTAGTAAAATCCGTGCCTTTCTTCTGGTTAGTAATTAATTTATGATTATAAGTATCATTTTCTTGATTTGGTATGCTAAGAAACAATTATTTAACATATTATTTTAACATCATTTTTTAGATTTTGCTTCAACTATTGCAATTGTACAGGTAATCATAACTTTGTCACCTACTCTTTACCTACATTTTATATTAAGTGGTTATTATAGTGTTATTTTAATCTTTGAAGCCACTAACATTCACCTTATGTGTTATCAATTTAAAGTATATCATGACATAATCTCTTTATTTTAACCGTTCGGAAATTATAATATTTGTTTTTAAAAGTTTGTCATAATGTTTTCTAATTAACTTCACGTATTATTTAATTTTGGAGCCATTATTTAAGTTTTATATTTGAAACCTTTATTCAAATGGTTCTATAGTTGCTAGCCTGCCACGACATATTGTATGTATATGAGTGTTTTTTTACTTGGTTCACAAAAGATGCGGGTTTTTTTTTTCAGTGATCTAAATTCATGTTAACGCTTTCTATTAGCCTAATTGATATCAATAACAATGTGCAAGCAATAATCAAAGCCACTTAAAGAGGCTTTTGAACAGCCATTGTTGCCATGTTCCTCTGATTGATAAGAAATAATAATTTGGAATGACTTAGCCTGATAAACCATTCATGAAAGCACCCATAATGGACATTTTGGTTTACTATGACATTTAACCTAGACCATAGATGGATAATAGCAATAAACCGCGGGGGGGGGGGGGGGGGGGGGGGGGGTACATATCATTTTTTAGGTTGTATAATCAGCCCAATTGGTGTATATTTCTTTTGGACGAAGTAGGAGACCAATTAACAATCTCAATAATCTGAGTTTCTTCTTAAACATTTTATATGAAATTATGACTTATTTCCTATGTCAGAAATCAGGTTTTATTGGTCTCATGACTGATTAATTGTTGTATATTTCTTTTGCATATACATGGCTACATCGAGAGCTTTTCCAATTATTTGGCATTTTCAACCCCACAAATCGGGGTTTTTCCCTAGTTATGTTTATTTAGACAGGCAAAGAAACACCCCCAAAAAATGCAATATAGACTATAGCATGCTTAAATAAATGCATTTTTTGTATTATTGTTGTATTTCTAACTCTTTTATTTATTCAGAAATTTTTTATGATATTTTCTTGTTGTGTTTCCTTTCAAATGGAAAATTATCATATCGCCTTTACTATAAATTTTATAATTATTACTTATTATTATAATTATAATATAAATTAAAAAAAATCAAAATCAATAAATACTTATAACCTAAAATCAAGATTCAAGCTTCGTGCTACTCAATTTTTCCCGCTCCATTGAACCTTCCATCGT